TAGTTACAGCATGATATGATTTGCGCATGCAGTGTCATATTTACTAATTTTTTTATATAAAGTAATAATATTGAAATTAAATCAAGTTCAAAAGCTTTTTACCCATATTTTACATAAGTATGTTCAGCCGGGTTGCATCATCAAAGTGCATAAAAAATAAATTTTATTTTTAAAATTTTAAAAGTTTTTGTCTTCAGACTTACATAACTATATTCAAGCACCCATCTCTACAGATGCACATTAAAAGTACGCAAAATTAATTTAAAAAACAAAAATTAACAATTGGCAGCTACCTGGAAAAAAATGTCGGTAAATGTCTAAATTTTGAGAGCCGGTATATCGGCGCTCAATATTTAGGATTTCGCTCTAGTTTTTCTTAAGTTTCAATTTTGTGTCCTTAGGCTCTATAAGTTCATGCAAAATTTTACCACAATTTAAATTAATTTATATATTTTTATATTTATTTACCGCTTACAGGGGTAAAGGGCGACTGGGGTTTTTAGGAGACCCAATCGCCAAATCCTGAGTGTGGAGAATCCACCACCCTTTTAGTTCGGGAGCCACTTTAGAAGACATTAAGAATTTTCGGAAGCAGGAGTGATGAAAAATGAGCATCGCCGTCGCCGGGAATCGAACCACGGGCCTCTGGTATTCGCGTCGAGCATAGTGACCACTACACCACGAAGACATGCTAAGATTGCGGGAGAAATAGAATTTTTTTTTTCATTACCTGAAAACATCCAAGGTTGCTTTTTTTGGCTAAAATTTTATATCGGCAAGTTCTCTTCGAGTCAGGGTTGTTCTCCGAGTATAGAAACTTTATGAACAGTTCAGAAATAAACTTCCCCATCTTCCTAATCAAAATACTGTGACAATAACCTATTTACCTGTTTCTACTTATATTTATATTGAATTACTGATTCCACTGCTGTTTTTGAAGGATATTTTTTCCTCATCGTTTAATGTAATGAAAATGACCGCGGACAAACGTGATTACATTAACGGCTCCTACCGAAGTTTTGAATTATCATTATTATGTTACAGAAACATTTTCAGATTATATGAGCATAATTCGGTGACACTACTCGCTGCCGTTTTTCCACAATGCGAGGAAATTACGTACATACATAGATACAGATGCTTCATTATTTATTAGTCCAAAGGGTCAATTTGCCCTGAAGGACTATTATTTTCGTTTTAGCATTGTGGGTTAGTTCACTATAAATGTCCGAATCACTTTTCAAACTGTTGACACTAAATATTATCGCCCTGCATTATATTTAAAGAATTTAAATAATGAAGAATCTGCATAAATGTATGTATGTATCTCGCATTGTGATAAAATAACGGTACCTAGAGCCAGCAAATTTTGAGTAAGGTACGTTTCCACCCGAATATAGGTGTCTGGTAGCCCTAATTTGGAATTTGCTTTATTATCGATTTCATATTTTATAAAACTTTAACGAATTTTTGATTAACAAACTCGACGATTTTGAAGCGAGCAATGTCAACACTACGCGGGGGGACATTTTATTTCTAACGAGCGGAACTGTGTACCAGAAATTCTAAAGTTATGCTGCTCATTATAAAATTATTTTGCGATATTGCTGTTGAAATGACTTTTAAATTTAAGTGCGAAGAAAATGATATTTAATAAATAAAGATAACACACAAAATGTTAAGAAAACGCATTTTTGGACGCAATTTAAAATCTGAAACCTTTCAGATTAAATTATTTTATTATTTTTTAATAACAGATGGCGACAACATTTGGGTGTAACAGTTTGAAAAGTGAGTCGGATACAAAAGTGATACGGATAAAAAATGAGTTTGAGACTAATAACACCTCTGGTGCTAAAAAGAAGACAAAAACAGAGAAAAGGAAGAAATAATCCAATCTGCTCAGTTCCGGTAGCAGATCTCTAGTGGCGAGGGTTGTGCTTATCGTACATTACACTAAACGACTGACACATAGGCTGCCACCAGCAGGAATGTTAAAAAAAAAAAAAAAAAAAAAAATTGAAATTAGGCTAATATCGTGTTCCCCAGACTACCGTACGGGGACCGATCGTGCGCGGTTCGTGCCGATCGCGAGGTTCCACGTGATCGCTGTACCCGGATGGAGCGTGACGTCAGCTCGTGCCTGACCTCCAGGAATTTGGGGAATGGATATTGGTCTTGCCTTTGTTCTGGCCCTGGGTGCACGAAGTTCGTACTTTTTGCTGCTGCGCTCTTGGAGACGTTATTCTGGATATCGACGGAACATGATGGAGAAACACGAGGTCTCGTGCGAGTCGTGGAATGAGATATGACTGGGGTCCGGAATGCAAAGTCCGGTCTGGGCCGGTAAAAGCACCGGCCGATTTCCTTAGGACTGGACGCAGCAGCTATGGGCTGTAGGATGTAATTCTAAAAAATGTTATGAGGCTTTTTTAGACCAAAAGGGCTATAAGTCTCAAAACACGATTTAGCCTTGATTAACTTTAGTTTACTGTCAGTGCAATGATCCACTTTTGATTACAGTCCGTTGCCATTCAGGAAAAGTAAGTTATTTATCTTCCCAAGTGAATCTCTGTTATCGACTAACAAATTGAGCTATTGAAGAGCAACATACGCAGTTCTTAAGAGAAGTATTTATTTTACTTTTAAATCAACTTCATTTACATAAAAATGTGTTGAATTCGAGACGTATGTATTAAAAACATTCAACATTTTTATAGAACGTTTTATACTTTTTCTCTTTTCAAATAGATAGAAGATATAGAATGTCCCCATGTTTGTTTAAATCAGGTTTTGTAAAGCCATTTTTGACCCCTTTCAACATGCACCCTATTCACTGTACCAGAAGATCATTCCCGTCCCTTCCTCTTCAAAACTAAAAAAAAAAAAAAAAAATGCATACATTTATAGTGCGCTCTCGATTATCCGGTTTATGGATTATCCGTGCATGTCCCTATGTGTAACAAGCAAATACACGCCAGTCCAAGCATGCTCTGAAAACCGCTGAACTGCGTCTTTAGGTTTAGTTTTAACGATTACATCGTGCGATTGATTCTGTATGTGCATTATTATATTAACATGAAATACTAACACACTGAAAAATACGCATTGAAATTCGATCAATATTTAAACGTTCTCAAAAATAAAGAAATAAACTCACACAATATGCATGAAAATTGATAGTTTGGATTATCTGCGTTTTTCAGTTATCCGTGACTTTCTTCCCCAGGTGTTAGCTCGGATAATCGAGAGTATATTGTATCTAGATTTAGATAATTTTTTAACGTGTTTTATGAATTAAACAACAGAATGTGTAACAACATGCTGATAAAAACTTGAAAAGGAACACTTTTTTTTATTTTTAAATGCTAGCCTCGAACAAGATAATAACTTTCTCAAGGACTCTGGAGGGGGGGGGGGAAGGGAGAGTACAAATTTAATGTGTAACCTCTAACCTCAAAACCTCATACTAACACATCAAAAAGAATTATCGGTAATTTTTTTAGCTAAAAATATAATAACTAAATAAATAATAAATTAGCAAATATTATGCTTCTCTTAATATAAGTAACCCCTGTTATTGCCAATTCATAAATATTTATAGCTGAAAAATTCATCTCAAAAAACATTCCAGTTTTTAAAACTCCAGCATTTGTTTCACATTTCATTTTTTTAAATGTAAAAATGATACACACAAAAACTATCAAAACATCAAAGTTGTAGGAAATTCAATCAAAGAGAAGGCTGTTATAAGTTTAATCTATTTTTCTAAATTTTATAATTGCTCAATAGAGATGGTTCCCAGGTGATATAGCGGAACATTTTGTAGGAAGCTATATGAATAGATATTCACACTAACATTGGAACTTCCTGTATCTTCTTTGTATTAAAACACATAATGCAATTCTATAAAAATACAGAACTTTTTAAATTAGATATATCAAAATGAAATGCATTTTTATCAAAATCAATCCGATTTCAAAATAAAAAACAATATTCTTAAGAATTTCATCTCTTCCTTGCAATAATTTAGCTTGTTAATGTGTAATAGGCAGATTTAATTTGCAAGTTAAATAAATATCTTACATTTTTTCAGAATGTCATTATACTCGAATAAAAAGTGAAACAACGAATTTAAGTGACTCAATAGAAAAATGTACTTCGAGCCCTTTCGAGCTAAAAAAAGTATTGTAAATAGAGGATAACAATCTGCCCATTATTAAGCAATTTCATCATCGTCATTTGATTTTATTCTGCTTGTAGAAGATAATTTAAAGAATCTGAATCAGAAATGTTACAATTGATATATTATAGGTAGAATAATATATATATTCGATATATGTAGAATGATAAGTTTATCGCAGACATTACTTAAAATTTCCTCATTCTTCGCAAGTATCAAATTTTCTCGCTAATATAAAATAAATCTTCGAAATCAAAATCTGTGTCTATTATTTCCTAATTTTTATTCGAATTATTAGATTACATTTCATATTCGAAATAATTTTATTTTTGCCTTGATTAAAATTTGCATAAAAACTTTTACATTCAAACCAATATTACTAATATCCTTCAATCCAAAACTACTTCCAGATTCAGGGAATACATTTTGCTACATTTTTAGAATAGGAAAAATATCATTTTTGGTAACATGAAGTTGCCATCCGATATCATTAATAACCGCACATAATATCAAGTCAAACGATATTTTAATTTTAAGAAATTGCTTTTTTCCTATTCGACAATGCATTACAGGACAAGATAATGTATAACATAAAGTGCATCTAAGCATAAGGATTTCAGAGTTCTAGGTTATTAAAGCTTTCATAGAATAGCATATAGATATTTCGCGCCCCCCCCCCCCCCGTCCTTTCAAGTTACATTACATACACGGGCGATCTGACAAAATGTTCTTTTTCACCACTCCCTAGAAGGTCATTATAGCGTGAGTTCATTGAATTAAGAATTATAAGCATTCAATCAGGTAAATGGTCACCTACCTATGATCTCTCAGATGATCTTGTCTCCTGAAAGCTTTCTGACAGATGTCACACGTATATGGCCTCTCATCTGTGTGTGTCCTCTCGTGGATCAGCAGGTTGTAGGATTTGGTGAATCTTCTTTGGCAAAACTTGCAGATGAATTCTTTCTTTGGTCTTGTGGACACTCTCGCCCTAAAGAACCTCCGCTCCAGCAGGAGTGAGCTTCTACTAGAGTTCACTTGGTGAGACTTAATGTCCGACCCGAAAATAGGGTTGTAGAGAGGATTTGGGAGGAACAACGGATGCCTTTGGTGAGCGTGGTGAAACCGGTGGATAGATGGGACTATGGTCCCAGTGGGAATTCCAATATGATGGGATGGCGGTGGTGGTGGTTGATGGTGGACGACATCATCTGGAGAAATTGCTGGAGCTGGGCATTCGCCACCATCTTCCTCATCGTCGTCGTCGTCGACTTTCGTTGCAGATTCGGCAAGGCGAGTGAAGTCGAACCTCTTGCGACGCTTCGTCTTTGGCGGCGAGGGGTGCCGATGGAATGCCGGACAAGCTGCCGGCAGGTAGGCGGTGAACGCGGATCCAAGATGAAGCGGCAGAGGCACAACAGGGTGGTGAACAGACGACAAAATTGTTGTAGCCGCAGCGGATGGATCGTCTCTAGGTAGCGGCGGAGAAGGGGATCCGCTGCCCAAGCTGCTTTGTGGGCTGGTCGGTGTTAATGGTGGAGTGGGAAGAAAGCGTTGGTGGTGCTGCATATCTCGAAGATCATCTGGAAAAGCAGAAAACGAATAAATAATTAATGAACTATATTTATGTATCTGTAAATAAGGGGGGACAGACCGGAAAATTTAAATTAAATTAACGTTTTCAATTAATCATATATCCATCTATATGTGAAATATAAAACATGAAAGTATACTACTAATTTTAGTTTGACAATATCATTTTAATTCCTCAGTTTACTTAAGTTACGTCTCCTCCCTGGAATCTACACAGCGCAACTTCAAAACTGACCTGCATTATGTTACCTGCAGTGCGACGCTCTTGTCCAATCACCGTTCAAAATTTAAACAAAGGATTTAACTTACCCAAATTAAAATGAGGAAGTAATAAAGCCTATTAAATCAAAATTATAACTTAAATTTGGAACACACCCTTAACCACTTATTTTAATTTGGGTATTTCCCCTCCTCTATTCCAAAATTAGCAATAAACTCTTTCTGTACTGCGTCATTTCTAGATCAGTCCATATCGATATTTAGATAGCCATAGATAGTCCATATCGATAGCGGTATTTTGTTCTATTTATTTTATACATTATCTACCATTACCATGTTCTAGTCTTTATCTACCACTACCACGCTCAAAAACAAATAAGAAGAAAAAGTAGACCTAGACTGTAGTGTTTTTAAAACAAAATCGAGGGCCAATTATTTTGTTGTAGAATTACATGACAAAATTTTGTGTTAAATACGCAATGATATATATAACCAGTTGTGCGAAAGGAATACAATATAAGCCGCCATTATCAAACTAAACATGTGACACGGTATTCAAACCTCACGGAAAATGAACGATCATTAAAACTGGAAAGTTTGTAACAGAATGCGTCTTCACAACACAATTTATTCGTAAAAATAAAAAATGACAATGAAGCACTAACTAAAGTCAGCCTACGAATAGTTCATTTATTAGCCACGAAAAGAAAACAATTTACCAATGACGAATTAATTAAATCATGTTTATTTGTGGCAGCCGAAGAAATGTGCCCAGAAAAAATAGATATGTTTCGATCTGCCAGTCTTTCGAAGAGAAAAACTTCTAGTTTAAGATATCAGGAAGACACATCAAGCTTCCAGACAAGGCAAAATATCCTAAATGGCTTTTGTTGGCTCTTGATGATCGACAGATATTACCGATACTGCTCAATTCCTAGTGTTTAATCGAGGCGTCAATGCTGAATTTGAGGGAATTGAAGAAATAGCTTCTATGAATAGTCTGCGTGGAGTATCTACAGGAGAATATAGCTTCAAGGTAATGGAAAAAACGCTAACAATTTGCAATGAAATCAACTAAGATCTGTGACAAATGATGGTGGGGAAAAAAATACGTGGAACGAGGAAAGGATCATTTGGAAAATTTTTTAAGTTTTGTGAAGATGCTAAATGTTAAGTCAATGTATTATTCACCAGCAAGCTCTTTGTGGGAAACACTTCAATCTGTCCTGTGCTTATTGTGTATCGGTTCGCTTTCGCGGAACAGATATATCGTAAATTTTTATTAGAGAACTGGCATCGCCAATTTCGTGAATTTTTTTTAGAGATCGAAGATGAATATCCTGACTTGCCTTATCATACAGCTGTTCGAAGGCTCAGCAATGAGAAAGTTTCGTTGAGATTCTTTGAACTAAGAGAAGGCATAGATACTTTTTTAAATAAGAAAAATTGCCCACACCTTTTATTATCCAACAGCGAACTCCTCAGACGTCGTGTGATATCTCAACGAATTCAATTTAAAACTGCAAGGGAAAATAGAATTCATATGTGAAATGTATTCCGTTGTAAAGGTATACTGATGAAAATACTAACGAAATCCCATTTCCCCCAAAAAATTCGCGCAGGATATAATATAGTTTCTGAACTTATGCTTACAGTTACAGCTGCGTTTTGTTGATCTTGATGCAAGTGCAAAAGACATTTGCACGTTTCAAATTCCATTTGACTGTGTAATTGAGGAGCTTTCATCAGACGTTCAGTTAGAAGCAATTGATTTGTAAAATAGTGATGTGTTAAAAATGATGTTTAAAGAAATGAATCTACCCACTTTTGTAAATATTTTTTGGAAGATAAATGCAGTATCTCAAAAAAAAAAAAAAAAAAAAAAAAAAACAAAAAAAAAAAAAAAAAAAAAAAAAAAAAAAAAAAAAAAAAACATTTTGCATTAGAAATTTTAATCTATTGAATAATAACTTTTTAATATCTAAATGTAAATCTTTTATTCGTTTTTATTTGTAAGTTTTAGTAAAATGTGTATTGTTTGCCACTTGACTCGATGAGCCTAAAATTTTTACAATCTGGCCTTTTCTTCAAAGGTTTAACGACCCCTGATTTAAGCCAACCCAGCTCTAGGGCTGCGATCTGATAGAAAAAAAAAACACATGCCTAGACATCTCAATTCTTCAAGGTTAGGATAGGAATCACTTTGACGGCATACTTACTTTTTCTCTGTAAAACAATGAATCAAACAATTATTGTATTTCTTCGTTCAAAGGAAATATCAAAAAAAAAAAAAAAAAAAAAAAAAAAAAAAAAACAATTCTTTTACCATACATTTGGACCCAGCGGCTGAGCGGTAAAATCGTTTAACACTGGTAGTTCGGTCCGAGGTTGGAATCTCGCGAACGGGCGGGCTGCATGGGCGCTTTCGTGGTTTTCCCCATGTGTAACGTGTATACCAGCCAGTTTCCCTTAGAAAATCCTCCACGAAGGCATCCCTCCCCTTAGGCAGATAGCCCTAGTGTGCTTTGCCGTATTCTCAATACACCAAAAAAATTACCATACATTTGCTTTATCGTAGAATAAAATGTCAAACGTCTCGCACAACAAAAATATTGTCAAATCGCACAAATTCGATTGCTGTGTTTTCCCGATAATGTACAGGTATTCATTCCTCTTATAACACGGTTTCGTTTTTACACGGTAAGAAAACAGCGGAAGCTTTATAAGCACCGCAATACTAAGACGTTAATCATTTTAACACGTTAATGAATAAGCGTAAACCTTCTTGTAACGCTTCATGTCTGTACATATTTCGACAACACGATTTTTATTCTTAACATTTACAAAATTAAGTTACATAAAACGCCATTGTTTGTAGTACACAATAAATATCTATATATTTATGCATATAAAATAAAATAAATTCCGGAAATACCTTCATTCTTTCACACTGAAATTCTTTCGTAACTGAGTCGCGACGTTATGTATCATATGCTCGAAGTATTCAGGCAGGAGACTGCATGAATTACGTAATTGTAATTTTAGAAAGAACTTTTCAAAAAAGTTTTGGGTATGTATTACTAATTAAATTTGTCGTTTCTAGGAGTAATTATTGCGAAATTCTCTTTCAATCCTATACGATATTTAAAAAGAATAAAACAACTTTGGAAAAAAAAAAAATTTTTTTTTCTCTTTTGAGATGAAAATGGAGATTTTGAATGGTATTTTAAAAGAAAAGGACTCTCCAAAAAATCTAAAATGTTGCAAAAATTCTAAATTTAAATGAGGCTTTGGTGAGAACTATTAAAAAAACTTTTTAAAAAGTTTTCGGAATGCATTTCTCTATTTCAGTGGTTCTCAACCTTTTTCACCCTCACGTACCCTTTTCACGACTATTCGACGACCATTCACAGCCCCTCCTTTCCCAAACTTGAAGATACATTTACTTTATTTTAGATTATTTTTTAATTTGTTTTGTAAATTAAACAAGAAAAGTATAGAAAATGATGATAAATACCAAAGCCTGAGAAAAAAGTAGTTTTTAAATTCCAAAACTAAGCCAAAACTAAATATTTAACAGGTACACAAAATGGCTGACTGCGTCCCCCGCCCCTAGAAAACATAAAATTTCTCCTTAGGGGGAATTCTCTCCAGCTAAGAATCCCTGCTCTATCTAGTGTTGGTTGCAGTATAGGTACTACTCTGGTATAACACAGTTTCAGACAACACAAGGATATCTCTACTATCGCCGCACTTCTGAGTGATCGCAGAATGAAAAATCAATGCGCAGCAAAGAAAATCCTATCGCCATATCTCAAAACTACTTGCAGTAGATTCATAAAAGCACATCCGCATTGGGCTTCCTCATCGTTCCGTGTGATCGCAGAATGAAAACCAAATGGCACCCACGAGAGGTACATTGTCAAAATGTCAAAAACTGATTACTGTAAATCAGCCCGATCAACTACCATCTTCCTCCCGTTCGATGCTTGAATGACAGATCTTCTTCATCTATTAGGGCCTTTACACCTGCTTCAATGGGACAACATAAAAGAGTCTGATTCCCGGGCAATCAATCAACTAATAGTTTTACGACGCGTCCTTAATCGAGAAGCAACAGGAAGAAGACAACAGAGAGGTGAAGTGCACGAGTCCCTCTCCTTTTTCTCACCCCGCCTCCTTGTTTGGAAGAGCCTTGGGTGATGTCGGGGGTTTGTTCTGTGGCAATCGTTCTAAAATGCTGTCATTCAGAAGCGAACTGGAAGTAGTAATGTTTGGGTGTGTGAAGCAATAGCTTCTTGACACTTGAACAATGCGAAGACAATGGGTCTTCAACAACGTCTTCAAATAGGTAGTTGTGGTTTTGTAGACAAGAAGTGTTCCTTATGCATAGCTATTGTTATTTGATTAATCTTACCAGATAAATGCAGGCGGTCCGAAGAACAATGGTGCGGTTTCTTTTAATTTGCGCACGTGCGAAATGGTACAGGTGGCTCTAACTTCACTCGTATGCAAGCAACTTTAAGAAAAATTAGAGGAAAACCGGGTTTTTGTCACACTATATGAAATCAAGTATTTAATCATTTATATGACGCTTTTAGAAGAGATTTGCTTAAAAACATATAATTTTGTTCAAATATTTAGTCGTAATTGTCTTTGACATGATGAACAGCTTTCCTTAAAAACCAATAGCGTCAGTGATTTTGTTTGGAAGTATCAATGAACAGAACTGGTAGCACACTCGCCGCGTATTCGGGAGGTCCGGAATTCG